GAAGGGATTCCCTTCCCTTCACGAGTCATGGCAGGGATTCCCTTTCCTTCACGAGTCAGTGGGGATTCCCTTCCCTTCACGAGTCAGTGGGGATTCCCTTCCCTTCACTAGTCAGTGGAGATTTCCTTCCCTTCACGAGTCAGTGAAGGGGTTGTTGAATTTCCAGTCAGTCGCCACAAATGGCCTTCAGGAAAATTTAGGTCAGCATATTTATGTCACTCCTCTTTGTGTTCATGATGATGTGACATAAAAAATGAATTTTTATTTTTAACGCAACAGTATCAGCAGTAGTGGCACTAACAACAGCAGAGATAGCAGAATAACAACAACGACAACCGCAGAAACGTCAGCAACAGCAACAGGCGTAACTGTAAATGTGTGAAGCTGTAACAGTATCAGTAGCAGTCTTAATAACTGCGCCAACAGTAGTAATATCAGAGGCAGCAGTAACTGCATCATCAATAGCTGTCACAGCATCATCAATAGCTGTCACAGCATCATCAGTTGCTGTCACAGCATCATCAGTAGCTGTCACAGCATCATCAGTAGCTGTCACAGCATCATCAATAACTCACAGCATCATCAATAACTGTCACAGCATCATCAATAGCTGTCACAGCATCATCAATAGCTGTCCCACAGGCAAACATCAATAACTGCATCAACTGCCCGCATCACCCAAAAACTGTCACACGCCATCATCAATAGCTGTCACAGCATCATCAATAACTGTCACAGCATCATCAATAGCTGTCACAGCATCATCAATAGTTGTCACAGTAGTAGCAGCATCAACGACAGTAGCAGCATATACAACAATAGCAGTATCAACAATATCAGCAACAACAGTAGCAACAGAAGCAACAACAGTAACAACAGCAGCAACAATAACAACATCATCAATATCAGCAACACCAGTAGCAACAATATCAGCAACAACAATGGAAGAATCAACAACTATAGTAGCAACAAAAGTAGCATGATCAACAGCGTCAATAGTAACAGTGACAACAGTTTTAACAGTAACAGCAGCAGCAGTCACGCCAGCAGAATGACATAACATCCTTGAGCTGACTGTAGACCAGAATGCTTCTGTCATGTCCACAAGGCTGGCTACCTTTTCCTACCATATCTCCCCCCCCCACTACCAGGCTGGCTACCTTTCCCTACCATATCTCCCCCCCCACTACCAGGCTGGCTACCTTTCCCTACCATATCTCCCCCCACTACCAGGTGGCTATCTTTTCCTACCATATCTCCCCCCCCCACTACCAGGCTGGCTACCTTTCCCTACCATATCTCCCCCCCACTACCAGGCTGGCTACCTTTTCCTACCATATCTCCCCCCCACTACTAGGGGGGCTACCTTTTCCTACCATATCTCCCCCCCCACTCCCAGGCTGGCTACCTTTCCCCTACCAATCTCCCCCCCACTACCAGGCTGGCTACCTTTTCCCTACCATATCTCCCCCCCCCACTACCAGGCTGGCTACCTTTCCCAAACCGTATCTCCCCCCCACTAACCAGGCTGGCTACCTTCCCTACCATATCTCCCCCCCACTACCAGCTGGCTACCTTTTCCTACCATATCTCCCCCCCCCACTACCAGGCTGCTACCTTTCCCTACCAAAATCTCCCCCCCCACTACAGGCTGGCTACCTTTTCCAAACCATATCTCCCCCCCACTACCAGGCTGGCTACCTTTCCCCTACCATTACTCCCCCCCCCACTACACTGTCCCCCCAAAAACCACCATATCAACCACTACCTGCTATCCCTCACCCCTAGTATGTCATTACTGTTGATATATATAGGTCTACTGCTGCCCCTGTTCACCACCTGTTGCGGGGTCGCATCCTAGGGGGTAAAAAGCCAAATAATTATGGAACTAAGCTACTCTGCTTGGCTTTCCTGGGTTATCCAAGGCTACTAACCCTCCTAGTTATTAATCAGAATGAAATCTTATTCTTCTGCATAGATGTGAATGAAAATAAGTCACTTTGACTATTTTGAGTTAGTCCTAGGTGGGTTACACTTTGATAACTGTACTGATGCGTACCTGTGCCTAAACAAATTTACTTGCAGGCTTGGGCCAGGAAGAAGGCTGGGGTTCTCCTCAATATCTGTTGCATTGACATTAATAAGATAAAATAAGATTTTGTTCGGATTTTTAACCCTGAAGGTTAACCACCCAGGATAACCCAAGAAAGTCTGCCGTATAATCACAAGATTTTTTTTTATATATACACAAGACATTTCTGGTGTCCAGGGAGGAAACCTGTCACCACTAGCTTATAACTATTGGCAAGCCATGTAACTGTAACAGTGTGTGGGGGGGGAAGTGGAGGAGGGTGAGAGGGGAGCCCAACTCATGTAACAGTTAACGGGACCACTACACACCTCTGGATATTTTTTTCCCACTCTAACTCTCAGTGTCTCGGATTCATGGTATGAATATACGAGTTTCCGCTCTTCGAGAAGAGGAATATTGTATTAAAGTTTGCCCTTCGTCCTAAGGTGGAGGGAAGAAGACATTTAATTTGGAGATATGGTCACTTTGACTAACCTTTTTTTTGGGGTTATCTTATGTAATTAACAATATGAATGATAATTGTACTTATGTTGCATTAATCACGAACAAGCGATACAAAATGAAAAACAACCAGTCTTTAAGAAAAGCAACCTAGTACTGAAGGACATTTTTAAGAAATAAATTAGCAAGTTTACTTAGGCACAGGTACATAAGTACAGTGCAAAGCACCCACAGGGGGGCGGGTTATTTTGCACTGTACTTATGTGCTCGAGAAAGGATGTCTCCTCTCAGGATTATTTGCTTGAAATTCCTCCATTTTCTACAACATTGCAAGCTCCTGATGATCTGTTGATTGCAACACGAAAGGCCTAGAGCTATCATTCAACCCCCCTCCCGTGATTGTTTTGCATGGTACTTATGTGTATCTATCTAAATAAGCTTATTAATTTATTCTTTAAAAAGTTCTTCAATGTCAGGTTACTTTTATTATAGACATGGTTTTATGTTGAGCAAATATAAGACACGTAACCTAACGAAACACAATATATAAATAACCTAAGTTAACCTTACTCCGCCAGCGGTTGATATGGGACTGACGCGCCTTTATTTGCATTCGACTCGTCTTTATTTAATATGAAAGAATAGATAAAAAAATGCAGCTACTTAGAAGATCCGGTCATCTTGAGAAATCAGGATCAATCAACCTAAAGTCAGTGCCGGATCAGCCGGGCTGTGGTTCGTATGTTGGACTACGTGCGGCCAGCGGTAACAGCCTGGTTGATGAGGCCCTGATCCACCGGAAGGCTTGGTCGGAGACCGGGCCGCGGGGGCGTTGATCCCGGGAATAACCTCCAGGTAACAGTTAATATTGACGTTCCTGCCTCATTACAGCGAGCAAATAGAGGCGCAACTAGACCTATATCTACCGCTGGCAGAGTAAAGTTATTTTCAGTTGGTTTTCGATATACTATTAGGTTTCATACTTCTACGTGCATAACATAGAACAATGTTCATGACTAAACCTAAAACTGGGGAGTTCTAGAAATAAATTTTCACCTAACTCACAAAAGGGCCGTATCGCCATCAGTTTAGTTTAAGATGTTTATTATGCACCCCATACCTGTCCTGTGGGTGGTAGTCAAAAGATTACAAAGGTACATAATGGGTCCAGGGACTGGACCCCGAGGTTTTGATAGCTGAACAAGTTACAAAGGTAATGAACTCCAGGTAGATTTGGTCACAATGATGACAAGTTACAAAGGTAATAAACTCCAGGTAGATCTGGTCACAATGATGACAAGTTACAAAGGTAATAAACTCCAGGTAGATCTAGTCACAATCATGCATCAATACCAGAAATAGGTCACTTTGTCTGACTTTTATGGGTTATCGTAGGTAATTTATGTATGATAATTGTACTTATGTGTACATGTACTTAAATGAACTTTCTCTCTTCCAAAAGTGAGAAACTCGTCTCATGTCTCCGTGCATAACGCGAGTCATCCAAGTAATACAACCCACCACAGTGGGTTCAGTAGCACAACCCACCACAGTGGGTTCAGTAACACAACCCACCACAGTGGGTTCAGTAGCACAACCCACCACAGTGGGTTCAGTAACACAACCCACCACAGTGGGTTCAGTAGCACAACCCACCACAGTGGGTTCAGTAGCACAACCCACACAGTGGGTTCAGTAGCCACAACCCACCACAGTGGGTTCAGTAACACAACCCACCACAGTGGTTCAGTAGTTCCAACCCACCACAGTGGGTTCAGTAGCACAACCCGCCACAGTGGGTTCAGTAGCACAACCCGCCACAGTGGGTTCAGTAGCACAACCCACCACAGTGGGTTCAGTAGCACAACCTACCACAGTAGGTTCAGTAGCACCGCCCACCAAAATGGGTTCAGCAGCACAACCCACCACAGTGGGTTCAGTAGCACAACCCACCACAGTGGGTTCAGTAGCACAACCCACCACAGTGGGTTCAGTAGCACAACCCACCACAGTGGGTTCAGTAGCACAACCCACCACAGTGGGTTCAGTAACACAACCAACCACAGTGGGTTCAGTAACACAACCCACCACAGTGGGTTCAGATAGTTCAACCACCACAGTGGGTTCAGTAGCACACCACCACAGTGGGTTCCGTAGCACAACCCACCACAGTGGGTTCAGTAGCACAACCCACCACAGTGGGTTCAGTAGCACAACCCACCACAGTGGGTTCAGTAGCACAACCCACCACAGTGGGTTCCGTAGCACAACCCACCACAGTGGGTTCAGTAGCACAACCCACCACAGTGGGTTCAGTAGCACAACCCACCACAGTGGGTTCAGTAGCACAACCCACCACAGTGGGTTCCGTAGCACAACCCACCACAGTGGGTTCAGTAACAACCCACCACAGTGGGTTCAGTAGCACAACCCACCACAGTGGGTTCAGTCTTCCCATGCTCTGGGCTCAATGTTTTGCGTGTGACGTCACCAGTTACGGAAATGGCAGATCCAAGATGGCTGCGGATCTCCAGAAATTCCTGTTCAAATCCAAGTTTTTGAGGAAATGGGAGGAAGCGCGGGTGTTAGTGGTAGTGGTAGTGTTGTTAAGTTACTCGTTGGTGTGTGCAGAGGGACAGGAGTGCAGTTTAGAGTGCGAGCACGGCCACTGTGTGGACACCAAGTGTATATGTGACCCAGGCTGGAAGGGTTCGCTCTGTCAGTGGTGTGAAGGAAGGGTCAGGTGAGTGCTCATTTTCACCCACCTCCCTTCCTCATTTATATCCCCCCTCCTCTTCTCTTCCCCTTTCTCTCATTTTCTCAACCTTATCTCCGTTTGTCTCCTCATTTGCTGTCTGTGCAACACGTCTTCCGCATAGAACTAGTCCTCCCATCAGGAATCACGTAGTTTTCCCCTCCCTTATTATTATTCCAAAGGGGACCTGTTTTTTGAGTTTAGGTACACGATATGGAAATATTATGATTCCTAACCATGTCATCCCTCCCCATTTCTTTCTCCCATTTCCTTACCTCCAGCTGGAAGTTCAACCCATTACCCATTTGCTCTTCTTGTCATCATCTGTTTTATCAAAACTTGTGTTGGCATAGAATTAGGGGAGATATAATTGAAGTGTACAGATGGAAAACAGGAATAAATAAAGGGGACATAAATAACTTGTTGAATATAGATTTGTGTTGAATTTTTTTAGATCTACAAAAGCTATAGATTTGGCAGTAGAGTTGTAGACGAGTAGAACAAATTTATGCGTAGTGTCATTGAAGCGAGAACCTCAATAAGCTTTAAGTATAGTCTGAAAGGGTACATGTGTAGGTAAGGACCCTAATGGAAATACAAGGAGCCCATTGGCAATAAGTCACTGACTTTTTGGGGGGTTATCCTAGGTAATTTATGTACATGTTACTATGTATGATAATTGTTCCTAAATAAACATAAATGGCTGTAAGTAAGTTTATTTAGGCACAGATACACATAACTACAATTATCATACATAGTGTAGATTATCTAGGATAACCCACAAAATTCAAAGAGGCATTTCCACTGGAGCCCTTGTATTTCCACTGGGGTCCTTGTATTTCCACTGGGGTTCTTGTATTTCCACTGGGGTCCTTGTATTTCCACTGGGGTCCTTGTATTTCCACTGGGGTTCTTGTATTTCCACTGGGGTCCTTGTCCCCTCAAGGAAGGTTCCTTGATGTTGGTGAGGGGCTCTTGATTTAGGGAATTGGATCTGTGCTCCAGTTCCCCAAATTAAGCCTGAATGCCTTCCACATACCCCCCCAGGCGCTGTATAATCCTCCGGGTTTAGCGCTTCCCCCTTGATTGTAATAATAATAATGGGGTCCTTGTATTTCCACTGGGGTCCTTGTATTTCCACTGGGGTCCTTGTATTTCCACTGGGGTCCTTGTATTTCCACTGGGGTCCTTGTATTTCCACTGGGGTCCTTGTATTTCCACTGGGGTCCTTATATTTCCACTGGGGTCCTTCTATTTTCACTGGGGTCCTTGTATTTCCACGGGGGTCCTTGTATTTCCACAGGGGTCCTTGTATTTCCGCTGGGGTCCTTGTATTTCCGCTGGGGTCCTTGTATTTCCACAGGGGTCCTTGTATTTCCACAGGGGTCCTTGTATTTCCACAGGGGTCCTTGTATTTCCACTAGGGTCCTTGTATTTCCACTGGGGTCCTTGTATTTCCACTGGGGTCCTTGTATTTCCACTGCAGTCCTTGTATTTCCACTGGGGTCCTGGTGGCTCTGGTGGCCTGGTGGTTAACGCTCTCACTTCACACGGTGAGGGCCTGGGTTCGATTCCCAGCCAGAGTAGAAACATTGGACGTGTTTCTTTCAACCTGTTGTCTATGTTCCCCATCAGTAAAATGGGTACCTGGGTGTTAGTCGACTGGTGTGGGTCGCATCCTGGGACACTGACCTAAGGAGGCCTGGTCACAGACTGGGCCGCGGGGGCGTTGACCCCCGGAACTCTCTCCAGGTAAACTCCAGGTATTTCCACTGTGGTCCTTGTATTTCCACTGGGGTTCTTGTATCTCTACTGGGGTTCTTGTATTTCCACTGGGGTCCTTGTATTTCCAATGGGGTCCTTGTATTTCCATTGGGGGTCCTTGTATTTCCATTGGGGGTCCTTGTATTTCCATTGGGGGTCCTTATATTTCCATTGGGGTCCTTGTATTTCCACTGGGGTCCTTGTATTTCCACTGGGGTCCTTGTATTTTCACTGGGGTCCTTGTATTTCCACTGGGGTCCTTGTATTTCCACTGAGGTCCTTGTTTTCCACTGGGGTCCTTGTATTTCCATTGAGGTTGTACTGGTTTGTCAGTAAAGTTGTAGATGAGCAGAACAAATTCTTGTGTAGTGTCATTGAAGAAGGAACTTTGGGAAGCTTTAAATATAGTTTGGAAGGGTACATGAGTAGGTATGGGAGGGTATGAGTTGGACCTGCCTATAATTAATCAGTAGGCCTTCTGCAGTATTCCTACATTCCTGTGCAGAATTATCTGCTCTTCTTGTCCTCATTTGCTTTAAGATTAAATTTTTTCATTATTTCTTGATCAAAGGAACTGGAGCTACCCTCCTCCTCCCTTGGATAAGTAAATAAGTACTTACTTGCTTATTTCCTCCTCCTTGGATCAAATCTGATTCCATTTTCCAGTTAATGTTTAACTTCCTACTGGCTTAGCACTTCTCCATAAATGTAATACGTAGTTTGCTGTTCTGATCTTCATCCAATGTACACATGTACAGTGTGCATTTGTAAATATCAATAAATATGTGCACATGTAAATATCAGTATGTGCACATGTAAATATCAATAAATATATGAACCTTGAATATTAATTGTGCACATGTAAATACAGTGGACCCCCGCATAACGATGGCATCACATAGCGATTATTTCGCATACCGCTTACTTTAATCGCAAAATTTTTGCCGCGCATACCGATTAAAAACCCGCTCAACGATTTTCGTCCGAGACGCGTCCAATGTGCGCCCTCAGCCAGCCTCACATGTGCCGCCCGTCCCATTGTTTACCAGCCAGCCTCCGCGGTAACATCCAAGCATACACTCGGAATATTTCGTATTATTACAGTGTTTTCGGTGCTGTTTCGGGAAAATAAGTGACCATGGGCCCCAAGAAAGCTTCTAGTGCCAACCCTACACCAATAAGGGTGAGAATTACAATAGAAATGAAGAAAGAGATCATTGATAAGTATGAAAGTGGAGTGCGTATAGCCGACCTAGTCAAGCTGTACAAGAAACCCCATCAACCATCGCTACTATTGTGGGCACCAGAAAGACAATCAAGGAAGCTGTTCTTGCCAAAGGTTTAACTGTGTTTTCGAAACAAAGATCGCAAGTGATGGAAGATGTTGAGAGACTCTTATTGGTGTGGATAAATGAAAAACAGATAGCAGGAGATAGCGTCTCTCAAGCGATCATATGTGAAAAGGCTAGGAAGTTGCATGACGATTTAATTAAAAAACTGCCTGCAACTAGTGATGATGTGAGTGAATTTAAGGCCAGCAAAGGTTGGTTTGAGAGATTTAAGAAGCGTAGTGGCATCCATAGTGTGATAAGGCATGGTGTGAGGCTGCCAGTTCGGACCACAAAGCGGCTGAAAAATATGTGCAGGAATTCAAGGAGTACATAGAAAGTGAAGGACTGAAACCTGAACAAGTGTTTAATTGTGATGAAACAGGCCTGTTCTGGAAGAAAATGCCAAGCAGGACCTACATTACTCAGGAGGAAAAGGCACTCCCAGGACATAAGCCTATGAAAGACAGGCTTACTCTTCTCATGTGTGCCAATGCTACTGGTGACTGCAAAGTGAAGCCTTTATTAGTGTATCACTCTGAAACTCCCAGAGCGTTCAGGCAAAAGAATGTCCTCAAGGATAATTTGTGTGGTGCTGTGGAGGGCAAACAGTAAGGCATGGGTCACTAGGGAATTTTTCTATAACTGGTTACACCATGCATTTGCCCCCAATGTGAAAGATTACCTAACTGAAAAGAAATTAGAACTTAAGTGCCTCCTGGTGTTAGACAATGCCCCTGGTCATCCTACAGACATGGCAGAGCGACTTTATGGGGACATGAGCTTCATTAAGGTGAAGTTTTTGCCTCCTAATACCACTCCTCTCCTGCAGCCCATGGACCAGCAGGTTATTTCCAACTTCAAGAAACTGTACACAAAAGCTCTGTTTGAAAGTGCTTTGTAATGACCTCAGAAACTGAACTGACTCTAAGAGAGTTTTGGAGAGATCACTTTAATATCCTCAATTGTGTAAACCTTATAGGTAAGGCTTGGGAGGAAGTGACTAAGAGGACCTTGAACTCTGCTTGGAAGAAACTGTGGCCAGAATGTGTAGAGAAAGGGATTTTGAAGGGTTTGAGGCTAACCCTGAGAGGATTATGCCAGTTGAGGAATCCATTGTGGCATTGGGAAAGTCCTTGGGGTTGGAGGTTAGTGGGGAGGATGTGGAAGAGTTGGTGGAGGAGGACAATGAAGAACTAACCACTGATGAGCTGATAGATCAACTTCAAGAGCAAGAGGCCAGACTGGGGAAACTGGTTCAGAGGAGGGGAGAGAGAAATTGAAGAAGTTGCCTACTACAAAGATAAAGGAAATCTGTGCAAAGTGGCTTGAAGTGCAAACCTTCATGGATGAAAATCACCCTCACACAGCTATTGCAAGCCGTGTTGGCAACCTGTACACTGACAATGTTGTGAAACACTTTAGGGAAGTGATAAAGGAACGAGAGGTACAGGCCACTATGGACAGATATGTTGTGCGAAAGAAGTCCAGTGACTCTGAAGCTGGCCCTAGTGCATTAAAAGAAGAAGGGAAGTAACCCCAGAAAAGGACTTACTACCTCAAGTCCTAATGGAAGGGGATTCCCCTTCTAAACAGTAAGAAGATAATGCTCTCCCCTCCTCCCATCCCATCAATCATCACCAGATCTTCAATAAAAGTAAGTGTCATGTAAGTGTGCATGCCTTTTTCAGTTTGTGTGTATTAAAATTAATATTTCATGTGGTAAAAAAAAATTTTTTTTCATACTTTTGGGTGTCTTGCACGGATTAATTTTATTTCCATTATTTCTTATGGGGAAAATTCATTCACATAACGATTATTTCGCATAACAATTACCCCTCTTGCACGGATTAAAATCGTTAACCGGGGGTCCACTGTATAAGGGTTAAAAATCTGTACGAAATCTTATCTTATCTTACATGTAAACTAATTACAGTAATGTGAACTGTCAGTGGGAGTACCAAGATGTTGGTGAAGGGCTTTTGATTCAGGGAATTGAAGTTGTTCTTCCTTGAGTCAAACCTGATTACCACTCATACCCCAAGTCCTGTATCAGACTTGTGGGCTTAGTGCTTATCCATAAGTATTAATAATATGAAATGTGCAGTTGTCAACAGTATTAATAATGTCTGTATGTGAACATTGGAAAGTTGACTTAATTTGCACATGTAAAAAGGTATATACTATAATTTGTGTACATATGTACAAAGGTATATTTAGAAAAGTATAATTGATATGCAGATGAGTTGTAAGAATGTGGGAATAGTAAGAAAGTTTATTATACATAGGTACACTTAAGTACAATTATCATACATTGTGTAAATCACTGAGGATAACCCACAAAAGTCAGACAAAGTAACTTAGGGATGTGGAAATGTGTTGTAGGGGCATGGAAATACATTGTAGGGATGCAGAAATGAGTTGCAGGGATGTGGAAATGTGTTGTAGGGGTGTGGGAATGAGTTGTAAGGGTGTAGGAATGAGTTGTAAGGGTGTGGGAAATAATCAGCATTCCAAAAAGCTGGAACTCAAACATCTAGGTTGGTAGTAAAGCCAGGAGATGGAGCTCAAACCCCCTCAAGCAGCAAGCAGTCAGAGGCTGGGCCTCAACTTAAGTAGCAGGTTCAGAAGCTATAAGTAAATATAAACAAACATAGGCTAGTATGTAGGTTTATTTAGGTACAGGTATGCATAGTCTTAACAATTATCATACATAGTAACATATGTGTAAATTACTTAGGGTAACCCCAAAGTATTGAAGTGACCAGATATAGTTGAATTCCCCCTAGAGTTTGACTCCTGGATGAGCTGCGTGCCAGGTTCAGAAGCTGAAGGGCGTTTTACATAAACAGAGCTTGGTCAATGAGTAGTAGGGCTAAGAAATGGATCAACACCTTCAATAGGCCAAAGAACTGGAGTTCAACCTACTAAAGAGCAAAGTGTGAGGTTCAAAAGCTGGCACTCCGCTGTTGTTATTAGGGACACCTACTGGTAATAATTATAATACACGTAACTAAAATACATATGTTAAAATATAAGATGCTTGGAAAATGGTGAAAGGTCCCAAAGTTTACCCATTCCTTGTGTACAGTATTTGCATGATGTCCAACTGCATAAAGTTTGTAATGTTATTTATCTAACTCTAAAAAAAAGAAGACATGTACTGTATATAGCATAACAAACATTATTTTATGAACTGCTTTAATCACAGTATTGTGGCTTTTATTCTTCATTTTATGGCATAATCTTTTGTCTTGTAGTAATACAGTACAGTGGACCCCCGCATAACGATCACCTCCGAATGCGACCAATTATGTAAGTGTATTTATGTAAGTGCGTTTGTACATGTATGTTTGGGGCTGTGAAATGGACTCATCTACTTCACAATATTCCTTATGGGAACAAATTCGGTCAGTACTGGCACCTGAACATACTTCTGGAGTGAAAAAATATCGTTAACCGGGGGTCCACTGTATTCTCATAGGATGCATTTCCTAACAGTCTTCTTTCTGACCCACAGATTATGGTCCAATTCAAGTGTGATAACGGATGGGTCAGGGAATTACTCCACGGATACACAATGTACGTGGTTGATTGATGCTGGCCGGCCCAATACCTCCATCCGTCTCCATTTTGACCATTTTGCCACGGAATGTTCGTGGGACCATTTATATGTTTTTGATGGCGACAGTATTTATGACCCCCTCCTAGCTGTTTTCAGGTTAGTTGTAGTCCAATATTTTGTATGGACTGCTTTCTTTTGTAGAGTAGGGCATACTGGGTAGAGTATATATACGTTTATCATTTGCCTTATGTTTGCTTCACACCTGTGCCTTCCACTCAAAATAAATAAATAAATAAAACTCAAGGTACTTGCAGTCCATTCTTCAAGAGCTTTAACTTTTTGTACCTCTTTTCACTTCTGGCATGCACTTGCAGTCATTTCTTTGTAGGAAATTGTGCATGTTCATGGGGGATTGTGTACCTGAAGGTACAGTGAATACCAAATTAACGAAAAGCATTAGTGACCATAGGTTAATTAAAAAAAGTTTGTCAAAAAGTATATTTTGAAGGCTATCATTCTAATAACAATGTATGAAGTATGCACTTAATTTTGGTGTATTGATAATGTGATGATGGTGTTGGTGATGGTATTGTGTTGGTGTTGTGGAGAAGCCAGATGGAGGCACAGTTATGGCCTTTCTTTTTGTTGATTTTGCTAAGAAGTCTTCATGTCATTATTTATTTGTGGTTACTGGAACAGCAATGCTTGTGGTTTGTCTAAAATAAAATGGTTTAAGGATAAATATTTTTTATATTATAAAGATATAATTTTAAGTTATTTGTAAATACATGTACTTTTTTATATTCTCTATATATTAATCCATCTTTTAATTGGCAGTGGGATGGTGGTCCAAGATGATTATCGTGTTCCACACATACCAGAAGTGGTAGCCAGGTCAGGCTATGCATTGCTCTACTTTTATTCTGATGCAGCATATAACCTTACAGGATTCTCAATATCTTATAGGTAAGTTAATACACAGGCACGATCATTAATTCTTGGCAAATTATAATACTGTACCTGACAGTTTTACCACTTAATCAGATTTCTTGTAAGGATATTTGTACATCTGTGTCACATTTAGTTAGGAATTAAATAGGCTTAATACATATGGAGGATGCATGGACAAATGTATACTGAAAATTTTTCTTTTTAAATTTAGTAATTTGTGCAGGAGAAGGGGTTACTAGCCCCTTGCTCCCGGCATTTTAGTTGCCTCTTACAACACGCATGGCTTACGGAGGAAGAATTCTGTTCCACTTCCCCATGGAGATAAGAGGAAATAAACAAGAACAAGCACTAGAAAGAAAATAGAAAAAAAACCAGAAGGATGTGTGTATATATATATGCTTGTATACATTTATGTGTAGTGTGACCTAAGTGTAAGAAGAAGTAGCAAGACGTACCTGAAATCTTGCATGTTTATGAGACAGAAAAAAGACACCAGCAATCCTACCATCATGTAAAACAATTACAGGCTTTCATATTACACTCACTTGGCAGGATGGTAGTACCTCCCTGGGCAGTTGCTGTTTACCAACCTACCACCTAGATACAGTGTACACGTATTGTACTATTTTTTAAAGCGTAGTTCACCATTTACATTAATAAACAAAAGTGTGGTTTTGATCTAACGGGATTTTTGCCTTGCAGTTACTTTTAATTACAGAAAAAATGCTACTGTATATGTATAAGCATATGTGTATGTATTTGTTTGTATGGAGGTACAATTTATGGTGGTAATCACACTGTGTGATCTAATTTATATGTTCATAAAATTTGGAACAATTTGTGGTGTGAATATGATGCAGAGAATTAGGAGCACATAAATTAGATGATATGGGGTTACAAAAAGAATAATTAAAAGGGCAGAAGAAGGGTTATTCAGGTGGTTTGGCCATTTACATTTATAAAGGATGGAGCAGAATAAGGTGATAGTTTTTATATAAATCTTCGCACTTGAGTCCTGGACGTAGGAAGTACAGTGCCTGAAGTTGGAAAGGATGGGTGAGGATGTTTCTGCTTTGAGGGTCTTGTGAATTGTGATGCACACTTCTGGGAAGACAGCTTTTAAATGAATGACAGTGAATGTCCTCTTTTTTTCTTTTTTTTTTCTTTTTATGGTTACCCTACCTTGGTGGATGATGGTCAGTGTAGTAAAAAAAAAAAAAAAAAGATTACCACATATCTTTGATATTTTGCTCCTTCTGGGATCTTTCCTTTCTTGAGGTTGTTTGCCTTGTATATTTTCTTCAAGAATTTCATATATTTTCATGTACAGATAAAGACATTAAATTAAGGAGAACTTGAAATATTTGTTAAATTTTTTTACACACAGGTTTTGTTGTAGAAAGAGTGAAGATTACTGCAAGTAAGAGTGATAAAGGCCAGAGCATTGAGAAACTATTTGTTGCAGGACCATGTTATAGCACTTTCAGTGTATACTTTAGAATGAAGAAGAGGATTATCATGATGGAAAAATTTTAGTTGAAAATATTTAAAGATCAGGTTCTTAATCTGTTCTGTACACTAAAATAACATGTATTAAGGCAAAAGATATGGGAGATGGTGTAAAATAAACCCTTGGAAAGTGGAGACATCATTTATGTCAACATCCAGTGTTTCCTGGCTCTGATCTTCTACTTGCTGGAGCAAAAGTAGATGGCTTCACAAGTTAACTAGTTATTGTCCTGCTGGAAGTGATGGGTTGTAATGGCTATTATGAGCATGCAGTCTGCAAGGAGTGGTAGCCTGACTGACCTTGTAATCACCAGTAAAGGTTTGTCTCATTCTGGACTGCAGGAGTACAAAAATTTAGAAAATGGTCAAAGGTATGTACAACATAAGAATGTAGAGTTAAAATATATGTAGCATACAGTTAAGAGAGTTTACAGCTTTAATGCAGAGTTATGAATGTACATTTTGGCCATCAGAGTTGATGGGTGCCCCAGTACTATGGTCGGGGACGAATGCTCAGGCCGTGGTGCATGTTTGGAGGGATACTGCACCTGTGATGCTGGCTGGGGAGGTCTTGCCTGCTCTGTCCCAGTATGTCCTGAAGGTTGTTCAGGAAATGGTCTATGCAACCCTGAAGAGCACCGTTGTCAGTGTCATCCTGGCTACACTGGTTTGTATCTGTATTTGGAATCTTCTTTCTATTTATTTTAAAAATAAGTTCTTAGAAGACCAACACATCTAGTGGCCTGAATTTTTGTGGAATTATAGAATTTTGTATTGTATGTCATGTGTGTTTTTAATTTTAAATTACGAGATTTGTGTATTTTGAAAGTTCCCAGTGGCTGTATTACTGTACTACCTCCTCTTAGATCCCTTTCCTTTTGTTTATCACATTATTCATGAAGAGGTCTTTGTCATTGTCCTTTCTGTATTTTTTTTTTTTTACATAGTTTTGATTTTATAACCTTTTGTTTTTGTTATTGATTTTTTTTTTTTTCAAAAAGTCGGCTGTCTCCCACCGAGGCAGGGTGACCCAAAGAGAAAGAAAATCCCCCCCAAAAAATACTTTCATCATCATTCAACACTTTCACCTCACTCATACATAATCACTGTCTAGGCAGAGGCACCCAAATCAACAGTTTAGAAGCATATATAAAGATATATAACATATCCCTCCAAACTGCCAATATCTCAAACTCCTCTTTGAAAGTGCAGGCATTGTACTTTCCATTTCCAGTACTCAAGTCCAGCTGTATAAAAATAACTGGTTTCCCTGAATCCCTTCACTAAATATTACCCTGCTCGCACTCCAACAGCTCGTCATGTCCCAAAAACCAGTCGCCTCCATTCACTCCTATCTAACACGCTCACGCACACTTGCTGTTATATACCAATAAATCTTTCCTGAGTATTTACAGAAATTTTATGAAATTGTACTGTACAGTATGTGGCTATGTTTCCTCTTTTTTTTCCATCACTGTTATATAAATTGTCTTCAGTTTTTCTTCATATTTCATGCTACTTAACAATGTTTTATCACATAATCTATGTTATTTGCATAGCTTGTTAGTTCTTTCTCCCATTAACATAACATGGTACTTGCCTACATAAAATTTCATCATCCATGAAACACTTCATTTTCAAATTTATCCAAGTGTTTGTGCAGGGATTGTAATTTTTATTACTGTACTTATTTAACATGGTTTTTCACATCATCCAGGTACATGTTTATATAGTTTTTATTTCTTTCACAAGTCGTTTATGTTACTAACATCAGGGCATATGTCCCTGTTGGTGATATTTTTCCATGTGGACATTTTCCCTTTTGTATATATTCTGTATCTGGAAATGGTGAGAGATTTTAAAAGGAATTGGTTATTTGTATCCTTCAAAGGTGCAGACTGCAGCCAGGTGATTGAGGAGGGTTGGTGGGAGGTGGTGGGGCATGACATCACCAGCCAGCTGAACCATCCTGACCCTGCTTCTGTATTATTAGAAAGATCATCACATGCCACTGTTCTCATTGATGATGCAATATGGGTTATTGGTGGCTACTCTTTCACTGAGCGCCCATTCCTTGTGAAATACAATATCACAGGTATGTCATATTATCCTCTTTTATATGTTTTTTCATTGCAGCATTACCATATTTTAATATATCTATAATTTTCGATTGCTAACAAGGCAGTTTATAGCACTATCACCTTTTTTTTTTATGTCTGTAAAGGTCCTTATGTTTCTTAGAATGAAAAATTACTGTGCTTTTATTTACTCTAAGTGAGAAAAATATTCTCTAGTAATACAGTAGTGGCAGTTTATGTAATTTCTTTTCCTCAGTTGCTGAAATATTTTCTTGTTTGAAAGTACAGTATGTAT